CTTATTATAATGGAGCTTGCGATGTATACATCCAAAACCTGGATCTTGGAAAGTACGGCCCTGATCATCACCAATCGTAACTGGGTAATATTTTTATAACTAGGCAGTATTTTTTATAGCTGAGCAATAAATAAAACAGTTGAAATTTCCACATATGTTTCAGATTTAACCAATCAAAATTAGAAAAAGGAGTAAGTTTCAAATATAAAACATAAATAAAAAATATATTTGTTTTGATTCAGTGAAAATCTCACGAATGTTGTAACAGAAAAGCAGGAGTTGTGACAAAAATCTATTAATTTATAGCCATATTTGGATAGTCATAGAATTGTTATCATGGTTGCAGTAAACAGATACTTCTGGTACCATCTTGTTAATTGTTGCAGACAAACATTCCAGTGTAAGAATGTACCATAATTTGTGTCAACTGTATTAATTTGAAGTTTGTTGATCTTGGATGTTCAGTAATGTAAGGTTTAATATCTTTATTGTGAATAGAATCGATACTGTAGTACAATAATCTTTATTTTTTAACTAATTGGTACAGGGTTAATAAAGAATTAGTTTACCAAAATGTCTCAGGTTAACAGTAGTTTTCATCTGTATACATTTTTTATTGGTTATCTTAGGTGTTCCATTAATTGACGGCGGAACAGCCCACCTTACCCATCTTGTAGGACTGTCCAAGGAACTTGATCTCATCTTTAGAGAACGACAACTTTCAGCAAAGGAAGTATTCAAGACGGGACTCGTTAATCGGCTTGTTTCATGTGGCACTTGTACGTCGATCTGTATTTGTTTGATTTTTACTGAATTATACAGATAACTTAGTAAACCTCATTGTACCAGTGTAAACCTGAATTATACAGATAACTTAGTAAACCTCATTGTACCAGTGTAAACCTGAATTATACAGATAACTTGGAAAACCTCATTGTACCAGTGTAAACCTGAATGTGTATCTTAGTGTAAGCTGTTATAATAACTGATGTTTAAACAACATGATAAAACACCGGTCAAAATCAAAGTACCTTTTTATTTCACCCCTTATTTCAACACATTTTCACCAACTCTAGAGTTTAACTGTATTCACCAGAATGTAAATTTTAACCTTATTTTGAAACTGTTATACTGTGATGTAGAATAATATTCTTTTAACAGTTTTAACTCAGTAGTAAAGCTAACAGATAGGTAACACTTTGAACTCAGTAGTAAAGTTAACAGATAGGTAACAGTTTTAACTTAGTACTAAAGTTAATAGATAGGTAACAGTTTTAACTCAGTAGTAAAGTTAACAGTTTTAACTTAGTACTAAAGCTAACAGATGGGTAACAGTTTTAACTTAGTACTAAAGTTAATAGATAGGTAACAGTTTTAACTCAGTAGTAAAGTTAACAGTTTTAACTTAGTAGTAAATTTAACAGATAGGTAACAGTTTTAACTTAGTAGTAAAGTTAACAGGTAACAGTTTTAACTTAGTAGTAAAGTTAACAGGTAACAGTTTTAACTTGGTACTAAAGTTAAGAGTTTTAACTTGGTAGTAAAGTTAACAGATAGGTAACAGTTTTAACTCAGTAGTAAAGTTAACAGATAGTTAACAGTTTTCTAGTAGCAATTTTAGTTTAACTTGGTTTTATAGTTTATAGTACATACTGGAGGGATTTAGATATTTTTGACAATAACAGAGAAAACAACTTTTACTGTTCAGATAATATAAAAATACTTTATTTCAGTTTATGTTTTGTCACTGAGGCTACATCAGGACTTGTACTAATAACTGTATTTATATATAATGATTAAATGTTCATTTAAACATTTCAACAGATTTAATGACACGTGTCATTCTATGTTCTATACAAAATTTGTATGTAAATACATGACATTTCTGACATTGATATATAAAATTTGTGTGTAAATACATGACATTTATGACACTGATATACAAAATTTGTGTGAAAATACATGACATTTAGGACATTGATATACAAAATTTGTATGTAAATACATGACATTTTTTACATTGATATACAAAATTTGTATGTAAATACATGACATTTTTGACATTGATATACAAAATTTGTATGTAAATACATGACATTTATGACACTGATATACAAAATTTGTGTGTAAATACATGACATTTACAACATTGATATACAAAATTTGTGTAAATACATGACATTTATGACACTGATATACAAAATTTGTGTAAATACATGACATTTACAACATTGATATACAAAATTTGTGTAAATACATGACATTTAGGACACTGATATACAAAATTTGTGTGTAAATACATGACATTGATATAGAAAATTGCTTCTTTATGTAGTTTATAATGGAGGTTTTTCTGTCTATTAAATTCTTAACCTACGTATATGTAAAGTTCAGATAAATAATAATTATTATTATTATTACTGTTTTAATTGAAAATCATCTTGTTGGTTTCATCTCTTGGCCAAACTGTTAATCTAGCCTCTTCTCTTATCAAGTTTCCTCAGAAGTACTTCAGAGTTGACAGAAGTTCCACCTACTGTTCATCATTTGAAACAAAGTCTTTAACTGATGCTCTTCAGTTTGAATGGGAACATGGGAAAGGCATTATAACAGATGAATGCATTTCAGGTGAAAATATGTAGGATTAATAGTAAAAACAGTTAGTATTGTATAATGACATTAAGTCAATATAATTTAAGTTATACCACATCTGTAGGATTAATAGTAAAAACAGTTAGTAATGTATAATGACATTAAGTCAATATAATTGAAGTTTTACCACATCTGTAGGATTAATATTAAAAACAGTTAGTATTGTCTGATGACAATTAAGTCAATATAATTGAAGTTATACCACATCTGTAGGATTAATAGTAAAAACAGTTAGTATTGTATAATGACATTAAGTCAATATAATTGAAGTTATACCACATCTGTAGAATTAATAGTAAAAACAGTTAGTATTGTATAATGACATTAAGTCAATATAATTGAAGTTATACCACATCTGTAGAATTAATAGTAAAAACAGTTAGTATTGTATAATGACATTAAGTCAATATAATTGAAGTTATACCACATCTGTAGAATTAATAGTAAAAACAGTTAGTATTGTAT